CTCAATCACCTTTCCATCCATCAGTGGCTTCGCTCTGCCATCCCTGATTCACAACAACCAACCTCTCCTATAGGTTTCCTATTTTTGAAACTTCCGCCACCGCCTTGCGCGGTACTACTGGTAAAAATAATATTGCATTCTCATAACAATGCAATAATCATAATAATAATTAATAATGTAATAAAAAAATAATAATCATCATAATGTTAGTAATAATAAGAACAGCAGCAGCAGACATATTTCATCATCAGCACCATAGTCACGTTTATCATCAAGACCCTCTTTGGTGACATCATCCTGTGTTCATCATCACCACCACCACCACCACCATCATCATCATCACTGCCATCACCATCATCATCATCATCACCATCACATGGTCATGTTCTTCTTCTTCTTCTTCGTCACCGTCATCGTCATCGTCATCATCAGCACTGTCATCATCGCCGTCATCATCATCATCATCGTCGTCATCATCGTCATCATCGGCATCGTTTTTATTTTGACATCATCAGTCTCAACATCCGGAGAGTGGGGGAGCACCCCCAGGCCAGAGTCAGGAGAAGATCTGATAGCGTGGCATGTCGGTGTGCAGGTGCAAGAAAGAGTTCATAGCGTTGGGTTGTAGTCCCTGTGTCTAGGGCCAAGGACATTTTCACACCCCACCCCACCCCACCCCACCCCACCTGCAACAATACGTGATGTGAGCAGAAGGTCTGAAGTACAAGTGAGCAGTTTTCCAAGCCGCAAGTGAGACATAGGAGACGCAAGTAAGAGACAGAGTCGCAAGTGAGCGGTTTTCCGAGTCGCAAGTGACACGATCCCCTTGTAGAGATGCCTGGGATATTCACTTGTGCGCATTGAACTGCGGGTCAAAGCAAGCCAGTTAAGTGCTTTGAGCCCAAATCATCCCTGCAACTCTGAACTTTGAAGATAATATGTGGACATGTGAAACGCACGATTGGAAGACATTAAACTTCCCAGTGAACGGCGACCATTTTGTACCGAAACAGCCCCCAATAAACTTTGAAGTTAATTGTTGATTTGAAGTCTGACTTTTAGTCGTTTCCCTTCCATTTTGACGCTGAGGTCACAGTGCCAGAGGGTGCTACGGGTGGCACAGTCATCACCATTGACGTCCCAACTGATGATGCAAATGCATCACCGTCGGCATCATCTCCGCATGCCCAGGCCTGGGCTGCACTTTGATCCGTGGGTGTGGCATGGCGAGGGTTGTTTTTATGTCCGATTTATTTACAGTTGTTTTTTTCCCGGGCGCACGGGTTCTTCTTTCAATTCGTTCAAATCAAGCCAAGCGGAGGTGATCGACAAGACCTGATGTCCGATCAATACTAGAGATTGATCTGTGCGCCACACTGCTGTCAACCACATTTCTTTCATTGTCACCAAAGTCTTAATTCTCAGAGGATTGGCAATCACAGTTTGTTGGAATATGTCGTGCGGGAGACACGGGGGGCACGAAGTAACTATGACCGCTGAATCCAGGGAACTCAGCCCAACATCGCAAAAGTTCCAAAAGATCCAGCAATCTTCGCAACCCAACCTTACATACAAGTTTTGCAGATAGAATCAAACACTGTATATACAGTAGATACTTAGCAATAGAATAAAGAGTCGAGTGGCAAGAGGCCTCACTGGGTGGCTGGCTAAGCAGTTCAAATTTGAAATGAAGTTTATGAATATTGTGAATTGGAAGGGCAAGATGGGCAAGGGCCTCCTGACAAGTGCGCTTATATCATTTGAGTTTGTGCAGGCTAGAGAATGTATCAGGGGGCTTTGCGCAGACACCAAAACAAAGCGCTTCTGAAACTTGCAGTTTTTATCCCGTAATATGATCCACAAAGATCATTGCTTGCACCCTCATGTTTTTGGACCCCATCTCACCTGCAGTTGGAGTAGGTTTGAGTGAACACCAGCAAATGCTGGTCGCATCTCCCAAATTGAATCAGGATGACACAGCCCGTGCTCTCGGAGAGAACAAGGCAACTACGCCAAGTGACCCTGCTCAGGCCACCGGAATTTGGGCTCACCCGCTTTGCGTGTTTTTTTTGGCTGATATGCATGGGGCACCGAACAAACAGAGATGCCTGGGTTGATGCTCGCCGTCAGGCAGGACACGAAGTCGTTGTGGATGCCGCCCCTGCAGAAAAGCCAGGGACAGAGCAGGACTGGTGAAGGGCCATACATTGGGACGTTTGGGGGCGTTCAGGAACTCGCCTGGGGCTGGAGATGAGGGAACCTCACACTTGGTTGACCATGAAATTGGATACTGTCCCAAAGGCATGCTTTCACTTTTTGGGGGGTCCTGCAATTCTGGCTCAATGCCTGAACACATTTGAAGCACTTTGGGTTTGTGTTTTCGTACGCGTGCCGTTCACCCTCATCCTGCTGAGCCCTCCCATTGGGACATGTTGGGACATGTTGGGACATGCTGGAATTTCAGGTGCCAACCAACTTAAAACATCTTGAAACCCATTCTTTACAGCAGTTTGCTTACACGGATTGACTTTGGAATGTGTTCGAGCCTGGCCACGAATTTCTACCTTTGGCATAGATTGTTTTGCGTGCAAAGTTTGGTGTTGCTGATGTAAACGTCAAACGTCGGAGGATGGGTTGTATCAGGAGGATGTGGCCATCGCACCTGTGGTTGGACCAGCAGTTCAACCAGATGTTCCAAAGCCAGCAGAAGCTTCTTCCCAGGCATTTTCAAGCCCACCGCTACGGCTACATCCATTTCATTGGATGTATAAATTGCAATATTATGCAATATTCTCACAAAATGATGCCAGTGATGCATGTAACAATGTAGGCTCTTCTTGTTGTCCTACAAGACAACAGGCAATAAAAGGCATAGATGGCATAGATTTTGATGAGGATGCAGCGAGCAAATGACTGTGTAGGAACGATCCTCTGTCGCTGCAGACACTCCCAGCACTAAAGAAACACCAGCACTCGAGCGGAAGGACCGCCAGTTGTCATCACTTTGCATTTGAACTTTGGATACTTTGGTAGACAGTCGCAGATGTGATCAGATAGGTTTTGCCTTTTTCGCGGCAAATCTATGAAAGATCTATATATAGGGGGTTCATTTTCCACGGCACCCTGAGAGATCTACAGCGCAGTCAGCACACCAACATCAGGCTGTTTGCGTTTCTTGCTGTGAATACAGTCATTTGATGTCATTTGTGTATTGGTTTGTGGGGTGCAGTTCCACTTCAAGCCTTGGTTCGGTTTCATTCTTCACGGTCAATGCAAGTCCAATTAACAGTGGGACTGCCGCGGTGACTGTAGTGGATGGGTTGTATCAGGAGGATGTGGCCATCGTGCCTGCGGTTGAGCCAGCAGTTCAGCCAGACGTCCCAAAGCCAGAAGAAGCTTCTACCCAGGCACTTTCAATCTCAACGCTGCATTCATTTCATTGTATGGGTAAAATGATAAACGAATTTATTGCAACTGTAGTGTAAAATATGGCAACATCATGCATGTAATGTAGGCAAATGTTAGCAATATTTGCCCTCGTGGGAAATAGGGAGTGACAGACATACATTTTGTAGAGATGCTGCGGGAACTGATTGTGCAGGAACGATCCACTGTTGCTGCAGACCCTCCCAGAACTGCAGAGACAGCAGTACTTGAGCAGAAGGACCGCAAGTTGTCGTAGCTGGACAGAGTTAAAGGCAAATGTGATCGGAAGGGGTTTCATTTTCCACGGCACCCTGAGAGATCTACAGCGCAGTCAGCACACCAACATCAGGCTGTTTGCGTTTCTTGCTGTGAATACAGTCATTTGATGTCATTTGTGTATCGGTTTGTGCGGTGCAGTTCCACTTCAAGCCTTGGTTCGGTTTCATTCTTCACGGTCAATGCAAGTCCAATTAACAGTGGAACTGCCGCAGTGACTGTAGTGGATGGGTTGTATCAGGAGGATGTGGCCATCGTGCCTGCGGTTGAGCCAGCAGTTCAGCCAGACGTCCCAAAGCCAGAAGAAGCTTCTACCCAGGCACTTTCAATCTCAACGCTGCATTCATTTCATTGTATGGGTAAAATGATAAACGAATTTATTGCAACTGTAGTGTAAAATATGGCAACATCATGCATGTAATGTAGGCAAATGTTAGCAATATTGGCCCTCGTGGGAAATAGGGAGTGACAGACATACATTTTGTAGAGATGCTGCGGGAACTGATTGTGCAGGAACGATCCACTGTTGCTGCAGACCCTCCCAGCACTGCAGAGACAGCAGTACTTGAGCAGAAGGACCGCAAGTTGTCGTAGCTGGACAGAGTTAGAGGCAAATGTGATCGGAAGGGGTTTCATTTTCCACGGCACCCTGAGAGATCTACAGCGCAGTCAGCACACCAACATCAGGCTGTTTGCGTTTCTTGCTGTGAATACAGTCATTTGATGTCATTTGTGTATTGGTTTGTGGGGTGCAGTTCCACTTCAAGCCTTGGTTCGGTTTCATTCTTCACGGTCAATGCAAGTCCAATTAACAGTGGAACTGCCGCAGTGACTGTAGTGGATGGGTTGTATCAGGAGGATGTGGCCATCGTGCCTGCGGTTGAGCCAGCAGTTCAGCCAGACGTCCCAAAGCCAGAAGAAGCTTCTACCCAGGCACTTTCAATCTCAACGCTGCATTCATTTCATTGTATGGGTAAAATGATAAACGAATTTATTGCAACTGTAGTGTAAAATATGGCAACATCATGCATGTAATGTAGGCAAATGTTAGCAATATTGGCCCTCGTGGGAAATAGGGAGTGACAGACATACATTTTGTAGAGATGCTGCGGGAACTGATTGTGCAGGAACGATCCACTGTTGCTGCAGACCCTCCCAGCACTGCAGAGACAGCAGTACTTGAGCAGAAGGACCGCAAGTTGTCGTAGCTGGACAGAGTTAGAGGCAAATGTGATCGGAAGGGGTTTCATTTTCCACGGCACCCTGAGAGATCTACAGCGCAGTCAGCACACCAACATCAGGCTGTTTGCGTTTCTTGCTGTGAATACAGTCATTTGATGTCATTTGTGTATTGGTTTGTCAGGGGTGCAGTTCCACTTCAAGCCTTGGTTCGGTTTCATTCTTCACGGTCAATGCAAGGCCAATTAACAGTGGAATTGCTGCAGTGACTGTAGTGGATGGGTTGTATCAGGAGGATGTGGCCATCGTGCCTGCGGTTGAGCCAGCAGTTCAGCCAGACGTCCCAAAGCCAGAAGAAGCTTCTACCCAGGCACTTTCAAGCCCGACGCTGCATCCATGTATGTGATTTGGATTATTTGGATGTATGTTGCATTTGTCCAATTTTGGTGTAAGTTTTGCAATGATGCATGTAATTATAGATACTATCGCTGTCCTTCAAGACAACAGGCAGTAGAAGGACTAGATTCTGATGAAAATGCAGCAGCAAGTGATTGCACAGGAACGATCCTCTGTCGCTGCAGACCCTCCCAGCACTGCAGAAACAGCACTTGAGCAGAAGGACCGTAAGTTATCATAGTTAGACACAAATGTGATCAGATGGGCTTTTTTTTGGCATATTTTACAAATTTATACAACCTTATATAACATCAGGCTGTCTGCACTTCTATCATTGTTATGATTGATTGAGTTGATTGCCGTTCGTGCTCAATGCAGCAAATCCCTTTAACATTGGGGCTGCTGCAGTGATTGCAGTGGATGAGTTGTATCAGGAGGATGTGGCCATCGTACCTGTGGTTGAGCCAGCAGTTCGAGCAGACGTCCCAAAGCCAGAAGAAGCTTCTACCCAGGCACTTTCAAGTGCAACGCTGCATCGAATCCATGTATGGGGTTATTTGGATGTTTTTTCCCGAATGCGTAGCAAGGGCCCGTTTCAGTGTGGGGGTCTGGGGGTTGAGGGTGTGTTCGCTTAACGTCGCGTTTATGTTCGCATCCGTTCGCAACCGTTAATCGTAACCGTCCGCAACCGTTCGCAACCATCCGCATGAGGGCCATATGGCCGTGCCTATGGCAACTTCTGCAGAAGGGGTCATTTTTGGAGGTTTCAATCGTCGCGTTGCTTCGTTTCGCATGGCAGGCGTGGCACTTCGTGACATTCAGACGTGTTTTGTAATGTGTCAAAAATCGTTTTGTGTGGCAGGCGCAATACTTTCGCGGCGTTTTCGCAAGATGAGTTGCAGTTTTCGTGGCAGGGGCAGCACTTTGGACATGTCCATCGTCATTTTGCGTGGCAGGCACAGCACTTTGGACTTTAGACGTGTCGCGTTGCGTGTTTTTGTGCGAATCGCATTGTCAGGGCTGCGTCAAGTGGCGGCAAGGCGCAAATGCCGTGGCAAGGCAGGCGTGGCATTTTGCGAAATGTGATGAAAATTGACGGAAGCCTGGCACGAAACATCGATTTTGAGGTAGCGAATTTAGAATTTCATAAGAAAACTCGTAGGAAAACATTGATTTTGAAGCTACAAAGTGTGAAAATTGGAGGAACTCGCGCACGAAATGCTTGTTTTGATATCCCCATCTGGTGATGCAGATTATTTTCCTGGGGGTCCAACCAAAATTAACAATTTTGAAATCACCGATTTGCACATGCCACATCCATGTGTCCGTTCGAACCCAGGAAAATAATTTTGTTTCAAAATATTTCAAAATTATTTTCCTGTGGTGTACAAATGTCCGGCAACAGGAAATAATTTTCATGCGGGGGGGGAGTTCACTACTGTAGAACATATATGTATTTCAAACCCCCGGAAAATTGCCCTATGATTGTATGAGGGGGTATGGTTCTTTACATGACTTTAAAAAGGTCCAGCCCCTTGGATTCTATTTTTGACGCCTGCGCCTCGGCCTCTTCAATCACTTTTTTGTTGGTGAAGCTGAACATATGTGGCTGTACCCTTTTGCAAGGCAAATGTGCCTTCAGCTTTACAAGTTATGAACCAGTCGGAGTTTTGAATTCAGTTGCTTGAATGGAATAGTTCGGGTTTGTTTTTACTTTTGACCGTTGAACCTGCATTTCGACTTTCGGGAGCGCCCTTTTTGAAGCTTTGAGCCTTCATTTCGCCTTTCGAGAGCGCCCGTTTGTTACATCAAACATGTTTTTGGAAATTAATATCCTGATGTCTGACCGATGCAAATTCAGCATGATAATCATTATAGCACCATTTCCAAAGATTTAAATCCTGATTTTTTGTTGCCGAATACTTGCAAATGATCTTCAAAGGTTGGCCCCACTGGAAAAAAGTCACATCACCAGGCCAATCATCCATAGATAGGACATGATGGGACAAATTCAACAATTTTGTGTCAACGCGCGCCCCAATTCCAAAGCACATGTTTTTTGCTGAAAAACATTTGTCCCTGCAAAAGGATACAAGCACATATGTTCAGCTTCACCAACCCAAAAAATGACTTCAAGAGGCCGAGGCGCAGGTGTCAAAAATAAAATCCAAGGGGCTGGACCTTTTTTTGGCCGAATACTTGCAGATGATCTTTAAAGGTTGGCCCCACCGGAAAAAAGTCGCATCACCGGGCCAACCCTCCATAGATAGGACATGATGGGACAAATTCAAGAATTTTGTGTCAACGCTCGCCCAAATAGATAAATTTGTCCAAGATACATGTCGGATCCGCGATTTAATATGTTCCACGCCAAGTTATTTGCTAAAGTTGTGATCCTCGCAACCCAGAAAATTGGTCTAGCAACAGCATATGAGCACGTGATTTAATTAGATTTGTGTGGTTGTGAAAATGCGGTAAGCCCCAAAGCATCTCAGCATATAATGCTTAATTTTAAGTGTCCTTGAGTAATTGGGAATGAAGTGATTCATACGATAAACGATTGAGTTTTGGGTTCGTCTTCAGATAGCCCCCATTCGAATCTGTCATGGGCTCGAAACATTCATATGTAAACCTTGGGTCCCAGGAAATTGATCTATTAACAGCATATGTTGAGGGGTGGTTTGTTGAGCATTGTATGAGGGTTGGCACCCAGGAATTTAATTGATAACAGAGGGGGAGAAATGCCTTTCTGGAAACCTTAGGCGTCAGGAAATTAGTGCCTGCAAGCTTCATTCGTCTGAGAATGTAAATTCCGGGGAAAGGTCAGGCACCAGGATTTTAATTTCAAAAAAGTCAGGACCCAAAAAATAACCCACTTATTTTCCTAGGACAGGACTCTCCGGGGTGCACCAGATGGGTATGTTTTGATGCTCCCACGTGTCTCGTCTCGGGTCTCTGGTTTTCCTGTGGCATCGCCGTGTCTATGGGGAAAGCTGCAAAACCTTTCCTTTTCGAAGGTGTCAACGCACGCGCAGGGTTGTAATGTTGTTTTGCGTGGCAGGCGCGGCGCTTTGTGGCATTCCAACCTGTTTGATAACGTGTCGAAAGTCGTTTTGTGCGGCAGGCGCGGCACTTTAGACGTGTCGTGTTGCGTGTTTTTTGCGAATCGCATTGTCAGGGCTGCGTCAAGTGGCGACAAGGTGCAAATTCCGTGGCAGGCATGGCATTTTGTGAGATGTGATGAAAATTGACGGAAGCCTCGCACGAAACATCGATTTTGAGGTAGCCAATTTAGATTTTCAGAAGAAAACTCGTAGGAAAACATCGATTTTGAAGCTACAAAGTGTGAAAATTGGAGGAGGTCTCGCACGAAACGCTCGTTTTGATGCTCCCACGTTCCTCGTCTCGAGTCTCTGGTTTTCCTGTGGCATCGCCGTGTCTATGGGGGAAGCTGCAAAACCTTTCCTTTTCGAAGGTGTCAACGCACGCGCAGGGTTGTAATGTTGTTTTGCGTGGCAGGCGCGGCACTTTGTGACATTCCAACCTGTTTGATAACGTGTCGAAAGTTGTTTTGGCGCAATACTTTTGCGACGTTTTCGCAAGATGAGTTGCAGTTGTCGTGGCAGGCGCAGCATTTTGGAGATTTCTGTCGTCATTTTGCTGGCAGGCGCAGCACTTCAGACGTGTCGCATTGCACTCCGCACTCTACATTCCACACTCCACGCTCCACCCTTTACACTTCACACTCCACACGTTACATTCCACGCTTTACACTCTACACTCCACATGAGACGGATGAGGTTGTGTACAGATGTTGCTCTTCACTGATGTTTGATGATGTTTGAGGGTTGCTGTTCTGTTGCTGGTTTACATATTTCAGAGCAGCGTCTGCTTTTTCCCGAATGCGTAGCAAGGGTCCCCGTTACACTCCACAGTTTACACTCCAGACTTTACACTTCACACTTTGCACTCCGCACTTTACACTGTACATACACTCTACACTCTACACTTTACACTCTACACACTTTACACTCCACACTCTGCACTTTACACTCCACACTCCACACTATGCACTTTACACTCCGCACTCTAAACTAGATTCCACACCCACACTTTACACTCCACACTCTGCACTTTACACTCCGCACTTTACGCTTTGCGCTCCGCACTCCACACTTTACACTTTGCACTTTACGCTCTACACTCCACACTTTACACTTTACACTTTACACTCCACACTCCAAATGTACAAGACTGTTTAAATAAACTGTTTCGGAAAAGTGTTCTGCGCAACTGCATTTCCATCTGTACCCTTAACATACGTTTGAGCATTCGGGTTCGTGGGCTGCATCTTGTTGCATTTTCCCCAATTTTGATGTCAGATTTACAATGATGCATGTATAGAATTGTGTAGATATTATCGCTGTCCTTCAAGAAAACAGGCAGTAGAAGGACATAGAAGGACTAGATTTTGATGAGAATGCAGTGAGCAAATGATTGCACAGGAACGATCCTCTGTCGCTGCAGACTCTCCCAGCACTGCAGAAACAGCAGTACTTGAGCAGAAGGACCGCAAGTTGTCAACTCTTTGCATTTGAATCATTTGAAAGTTGGTCGTCAGTCGCAAATGTGATCAGATGGGTTTTGCTTCACTCAGGGCAATTCTATGAAAGATTTGTAGGGCGGTCAAAACACACTAACATCAGGCTGTTTGATTTTTTTGCTGTGAGAACGGTCATTTGCATCTTTTTGTGTATTGATTTGTCAGGGGTGCGGTTCAGCGCGCATTGGTATGGTTAGATGCTGCCCTAGCAAACGACATTTTCAATGCGGCAAGTCCCGTTAACAGTGGGACTGCTGCAGTGACTGTAGTGGATGGGCTGTATCAGGAGGATGTGGTCATCGTGCCTGCGGTTGAGCCAGCAGTTCAGCCAGACGTCCCAAAGCCAGAAGAAGCTTCTACCCAGGCACTTTCAATCTCAACGCTGCATTCATTTCATTGTATGGATAAAATGATAAACGAATTTATTGCAATTGTAGTGTAAAATATGGCAACATCATGCATGTAATGTAGCCAAATGTTGGCAATATTTGCCCTCGTGGGAAATACGCAGTGACAGACATACATTTTGTAGAGATGCTGCGGGAACTGATTGTGCAGGAACGATCCACTGTTGCTGCAGACCCTCCCAGCACTGCAGAGACAGCAGTACTTGAGCAGAAGGACCGCAAGTTGTCGTAGCTGGACAGAGTTAGAGGCAAATGTGATCGGAAGGGGTTTCATTTTCCACGGCACCCTGAGAGATCTACAGCGCAGTCAGCACACCAACATCAGGCTGTTTGCGTTTCTTGCTGTGAATACAGTCATTTGATGTCATTTGTGTATTGGTTTGTAGGGTGCAGTTCCACTTCAAGCCTTGGTTCGGTTTCATTCTTCGCGGTCAATGCAAGTCCAATTAACAGTGGAACTGCCGCAGTGACTGTAGTGGATGGGTTGTATCAGGAGGATGTGGCCATCGTGCCTGCGGTTGAGCCAGCAGTTCAGCCGGACGTCCAAAAGCCAGAAGAAGCTTCTATCCAGGCACTTTCAATTCCAACGCTGCATCCACGTCGCAAAATCATGCCACTGATGCATGTACACTCTTCTTGTGGTTCACTAGGACAACAGGCGGTAATAGTAAGAGACATAGGTTTTTCCAGGGGTTTAATAGCAAGTGTTTGTGCAGGAACGATCCTCTGCTGTTGCAGACCCTCCCAGCACTGCAGAGACACCAGTACTTGAGCAGAAGGACCGCAAGTTGTCAACTCTTTGCATTGGAATCATTTGAACCTGGGACGTCAGTCGCAAATGTGATCAGATGGGTTTTGCTTCACTCAGGGCAATTCTATGAAAGATTTGTAGCGCAGTCAAAAGACTAACATCAGGCTGTTTGAATTTCTTGCTGTGAGAACGGTCATTTGCGTCTTTTTGTGTATTTGTTTGTCAGGGGTGCGGTTCAGCGCGCATTGGTATGGTTAGATGCTGCCCTAGCAAACGACATTTTCAATGCAGCAAGCCCCGTTAGCAGCGGGACTGTTGCAGTGACTGTAGTGGATGGGCTGTATCAGGAGGATGTGGCCACTGTACCTGTGGTTGAGCCAGCAGTTCAGCCAGACGTCCCAAAGCCAGAAGAAGCTGCTACCCAGGCACTTTCAATTCCAACGCTGCATCCACGTCATTGTATGGATGTAGACACCGCAATATTCTCGCAAAATCATGCCACTGATGCATGTACACTCTTCTTGTGGTTCACTAGGACAACAGGCGGTAAGAGACATAGGTTTTGCATGGTTTTGCCAGGGGTTCAATAGCAAGTGATTGTGCAGGAACGATCCTCTGCTGTTGCAGACCCTCCCAGCACTGCAGAGACACCAGTACTTGAGCAGAAGGACCGAAAGATCTCGTTTCTTTACATTTGATTTTTCGAATTGTTGCAGTCAGTCGCAAGTGTGATCAGATGGGTTTTGCCTTCTTCGCGCCAACTCTATCAAAGACCTATAGCGCAATCAAAACACTAACATCAGGATGATTGTTGTTTCTTGCCTCAGCGAAAGTCATGTGTGTATTGGTTTGTCAAGGGTGCGGCTCCCATTGTCATTCATTCATTGGTATGGTTCATTCTTCACGATCAATGCAGGTCCCGATAACACCCGTACAGTGGAACTGCTGCAGTGACTGTAGTGGATGGGTTGTATGAGGAGGATGTGGCCATCGCACCTGTGGTTGAGCCAGCAGTTCAAGCAGACGTCCCAAAGCCAGAAGAAGCTTCTACCCAGGCACTTTCAAGTCCACGAATAGGTCTGCTTGTGGATTCCTGAAGCTGTTGCCGGGGAAGCAGCAGTCACACACTTGAAGTGGGCCAGCAGAGTTTCAAGCCCAATGCTACAATTGTATGGATGTACCAGTAGTACCGCACAAGGCGGTGGCGGAAGTTTCAAAGATAGGAAACCTATAGGAGAGGTGACTTGCTGTGATGCATGGATGGCAGAGAGAACCCACTGACTGACCGAAAAGTGGCTGAGGCTCTGAGTCTCTCTCTCTCTCTCTCTCTCTCTTTGTATATGTATATTATATTTTAAATTGCAATATTGTATATATATATATATACGTATATCTCTCTCTCTCTCTCCCTCTCCCCTTCCCTCCCCTCCCTCCCTCTCTCTTTCCCTCTCTGTCCCTCTTTGTCCCTCTCTGTCCTCCTTTCTATGTCCATCTCATCCCCCTTGCCCTTGCTATGTATCCACTAACCTATCTATCTATCTATGCGTCTATTTGTCTATCTACCTATCTATGTATCTATCGGTTTGTCTGCCAATCAATCTTTCTATCTATCCATCTATCTCTCTTTCTTTTTCCCCACAACTTTGTGTGGGGTTCTTGCTTTTGATTCTCTATCCCGGGTCGCTTCCCCGCCTCCTCCTCCCGCCTCCTCCTCCACGCACTCACACACACACAACTTTGTCACATACCATCTCTCACATACAACACTCACACACACACAACTTCGTCACATACCATCTCTCACATACAAAAACTTCACACACACAAAGTTAGCATACAATAACTTCACACACACTCACACACACAATCTCACATACAATAACTTCACACACACAAACTTAACATACAATAACTTCACACACACTCACACACACACAACTTTGTCACATACCATCTCTCACACACACACAACTTCGTCACATACCATCTCTCACATACGACTTTGTCACATACCATCTCTCACATACAACACTCACACACACACACACACAACTTCGTCACATACCATCTCTCACATACAATAACTTCACACACACACAAACTTAACATACAATAACTTCACACACACACACAATCTGACATACAATAACTTCACACACACACAAACTTAGCATACAATAACTTCACACACACACACAACTTTGTCACATACCATCTCTCACACACACAACTTCGTCACATGGCACTGCGTGGCGCCCTTGGGCCCGGTTTAGTCGCGCGTGACGCCCGTGACGCCGCGGCACTTTGCGTGGCAGGCGTGGCACTTGGTGACATCCACCCGTGATTTCACGTGGCAGGAGTGGCACAATCTCACATCCACGGTCGTTTTGCTTGGGCCCGGTTTAGTCGCGCGTGACGCCCGTGACGCCGCGGCACTTTGCGTGGCAGGCGTGGCACTTGGTGACATCCACCCTGATTTCACGTGGCAGGCGTGGGGCAATCTCACATCCACGGTCGTTTTGCGTGGCAGGCGCCTCACTCATGGCACTGGGTGGCGCCCTTGGGCCCGGTTTAGTCGCGCGTGACGCCCGTGACGCCGCGGCACTTTGCGTGGCAGGCGTGGCACTTGGTGACATCCACCTTGAGTTCACGTGGCAGGCGTGGCGCAATCTCACATCCACGGTCGTTTTGCGTGGCAGGTGCCTCACTCATGGCACTGGGTGGCGCCCTTGGGCCCGGTTTAGTCGCGCGTGACGCCCGTGACGCCGGGCGGCACTTTGCGTGGCAGGCGTGGCACTTGGTGACATCCACGTTGATTTCACGTGGCAGGCGTGGGGCAATCTCACATCCACGGACGTTTTGCGTGGCAGGCGCCTCACTCATGGGCACTGGGTGGCGCCCTTGGGCCCGGTTTTAGTCGCGCGTGATGCCCGTGACGCCGCGGCACTTTGCGTGGCAGGCGTGGCACTTGGTGACATCCACCTTGATTTCACGTGGCAGGCGTGGCACAATCTCACATCCACGGTTGTTTTTTTTGCGGGCAGGCGCCTCACTCATGGCACTGGGTGGCGCCCTTGGGCCCGGTTTAGTCGCGCGTGACGCCCGTGACGCCGCGGCACTTTGCGTGGCAGGCGTGGCACTTGGCGACATCCACCTTGATTTCACGTGGCAGGCGTGGGACAATCTCACATCCACGGTCGTTTTGCGTGGCAGGTGCCTCACTCATGGCACTGGGTGGCGCCCTTGGGCCCGGTTTAGTCGCGCGTGACGCCCGTGACGCCGCGGCACTTTGCGTGGCAGGCGTGGCACTTGGTGACATCCACCTTGATTTCACGTGGCAGGCGTGGGGCAATCTCACATCCACGGACGTTTTGCGTGGCAGGCGCCTCACTCATGGCACTGGGTGGCGCCCTTGGGCCCGGTTTAGTCGCGCGTGACGCCTGTGACGCCGCGGCACTTTGCGTGGCAGGCGTGGCACTTGGTGACATCCACCTTGATTTCACGTGGCAGGCGTGGCACAATCTCACATCCACGGTTGTTTTGCGTGGCAGGCGCCTCACTCATGGCACTGGGTGGCGCAGCCCGGTTTAGTCGCGCGTGACGCCCGTGATGCCGCGGCACTTTGCGTGACATCCACCTTGATTTCACGTGGCAGGCGTGGCACGATCTCACATCCACGGCGCATACCAATTTAAATTCCGGCATACCGCATCAGTCAATTTGTGGTTGGTTGACATATTTGGAAAAAACTGCACAGTTCGCGTCATAACCATGGTGCTTGCCACTGTGACTGTGTCGTGACTTGACAGGCATGCGCTCTGTACTTGTCTTCCATAGTTGCGTTGACAACCAGCTACATTCGTGTTCTAATTCTACACTTTTGCGGCCAGGTACCTTTCCTCTATGTCATCATCGTCGGATTCGTGGCTGTAGGACACGCGCGGCTGTCACGTAGAACATCTCGTTGCACCACATGGAGCACAGAAGATCATGGAACACCTCATTCAGCCCATTCCAGGTCTGCAGTGCTGCCGCATCCAGAGCAGATGACATTGCAGCGCTGGCAAAAAAAATGTCTGCACTGTCGCGCACTCACGTAACTTTCACACACGCCATCTTTCACACGCAACTTTGTCACACACACATACATACATACATACATACTTACTTACATACATACATACATACGTACGTACACGCATACTATCTTTTCACATACCTTCTTGCTTTGTCACACGCTGTCTTTCACATTCCACTTTGTCACACACAACTGTTTTACCTTGTCGATCCTTCACCACCTCCTTTGTCTTTCCTTCCTTCCCCGCCCCGTCCCCGCTACAACCTTTGAAGCTCAGTATTGGAAGAAGTTGACTTGTGGGGTTGTCCGGTCCTTTAATTTATGTTTCTATTCGCCCACCTATCTTATCTATAGATCTTTCTTTATTCCTATCTATCGATCTATCTATCTACCTACATTTCTATCTACCTATCTTTCTATCTATCTATCTATCTATCTATCTAACTAACTATCTACTTCCCTATGGATCTACCTATCTAACTATCTAATTTATCTATCTATCTATCGATCTATCGATTGATTGATCTATCGATCTATCGATCTATCTATCTATCTATCTATCCATCCATCCATCTATCTATCTATCTACCTGTCTATCTAATATATCTATCGGTTTATGGATCTATCTATCTATCTACCGATCTATCTATCTATCTCATGAATCATCCAGCTATCTATGTGTTGCTCCATCTGTCTATCGATCTGTCTATCTATCTATCTATCTGTCTGTCTGTCTATCTATCCGTTTGTCTATATAGCTTTCTATCTATCTACTTCTCTATCTAACCAATTTTCTCTATATTTGTTTGTCGGTCTGTCTGCCTATCTCCCTACCTACCTTATCTATCTTTCTATCCTTCTATCTATCTGTCTATCTTTCTGTCTATCCAATCTTTCTATCTAATCTTTTTATCCATCTATCTATCTCTCCATCTGTCCATCTCTCCACCTATCTCCCTATCTTTCTTTATGTATGTATCTATCTACCTACCTATCTATCTATCCATCTATCTATCCATCCATCCATCTACTATTTTACCCATCTATGCATAGATCTTTCTAGCTAGCTCTCTGGAAGGAGACAAGTATGTCATGCGACCAAAAACACGAAATTTGCCAGGTCCGAAACGGAGCAATTCTGCAAGACGTCTTCACTTTTGACTTTGAGAACGTCACAAACGAAGCAATCCTGCAAACCTTTTTCCAACGTCAGAAACAAAGTAATTCTGCGAGACTCCCTTCCAAAATCAAAATTCGAGTGCAAAGCTGACGGCCTCGCGCCAGTACGTTTTGAGATTTTTCCATCCCATCTCGCTAAAGTATTGCGCCAGCTGTGAAAAAGTGAAGGCAAGGCATACAAAGTGCTGCACCTGTCACGCAAAATCATCTTAGCAAGCCTGCAGGTCTGATGCTCCAACAACCCCTCCCTCTCAGGAATCAGCGCTCTGACCTCTAAACATGTCTGATAGAGATGTCTTATGTACTGAGCCTGCCATGCGAAAAACATGTTTGCAAATCCTCTTCAAACGTCCCACGCTTGCCATCGTTTTTGAAACTGCTCCAAAACCAACACGTTTGGTGACTTTCGTGGGGGTGCGGAATCCATGGCGCTTACCAGTCAAAATGACGGTTCAACATCCAAAAGCGGTGCGCGCATCGTGTGCTTTTGGCATGTTGACTTCGGAATACGCTTCGCGCCACAGCTGCGCCCAATGTTTGACAAGCCCAACTTCCACAAGTAAACCACATTGAGATGCTTTTAAGATTTTGACTTCGAAACATGCTTCGCACCACGGCCGCGTACACTTTTTGAACAGCCCTGTCAGTGTGTCAGCGTCCAAAAACGCTTCGAAGCTGAGATGCTTTCCGATTTTCATTTGGAAACGTGCTTCGCGCCATGGTCGCGTGCACTTTTTGAACGGCGTTCTGAGCTGTTTTCAATTTTGACTTGGAAATTAATATGCTTCGCGCCACAGCCGTGTGCACTTGTGCAACAACTCAACTTCCAAACATGCTCCGAGCATTGAGCATGGTGTGCTTTTCGCAGTTTGACTTCGGAATGTTCTTCGCGCCACAGCGGCGTGCAGTTTTTGATCTCTCATCCGACCAAATGTCTCCGCACCCGCCGCTTTAGCGAGCCTACTCTTCAGCCCTCCGGAGCCACAAAACATTTGATAAACGCTCTGTTTTGCGACTTTGCGCGCGCGCTTTCATTTTCTCTCTGCGGGCTCTATCTTCTCTGATTTTTTTCTTTTCCTCGACTCTTTTCACAACAGTTGCTGCATCTGTCCATAAGTCGGAAGTTTGACTTCTAAACTTCCTTCGATTTTTTTGCAATTGCAAAATGATGTATGTAGACTGTAATTGCGCACAGATCCGGACGTTTACCCGGAGCCTATGTTTTCTAGGGTAAAACGACCCGAGTTTTCAACAGACCCCCACGACGTCATGGAAGGGTTCTTGACGTAAATTTCGGGCTGTCTGGTTCTCCCAGATCCAGGTTTCCTCGCAGAAAGCGGCCACTTTGCACCACTTGTATTTTGGATAAGATAGAATATAATCATTAGAAGACCTTTGCACGCATTGTTTGGAGGGGGTGGCAGATTTAGATCCCTCTGTAATGATGTATACAATATGATGGAAGAATACATAACAAAGACATAATATAACCACTATAAGCCCTTTTTTCATATTGTGGGGAGATGGTGGCAGATTTAGATCCTTCTGAAATGATGTAATATGATGGAAGGAAATTTAACGAAAATATGACATTATATAACCATTATAAGACCTTCATACGTATTGTTTGAGGGGATGCGGATATGAAATATGTATTTATCCTTCTGTAAAGATGCATTATGATGGAAGAAAATTTCACATAAAATATGAATTAAAAGACCTTTATATGTATTGTTCGAGGGGGTGGCAGGCGTATATATATATATATAGCTATGTATATGTATATTATGTATATATATCCTTCTGTAATGAATGATGTAATATGACGGAAGAAAATAAAACATAACATTTCAGATTTTGATTCAATATAGGGTACATCGCAGGAAAAATGCGACATCATGGAATAACTTGTAAAAATGACGGAAAAATGGAAGGAAACCAGCCCTGTGGATTTGGATGAGGGAATTGTGAAAACCGTTGCAAAAATGGGCGATTATGTGAGCATGGGCGAAAGCCTGGTTCTGCGGGTATAATTGCTTTCTGTGGAAAGGGCAATTAAATTCATTGATTTTGTCAAGGATGCAACAGCAAATTGTTGTGCAGGAGCGCTGCAGGCCCCCCCAGCACACTGAAGAAACACCAGAACGCGAGCCAAATTCTCGTCTCTTTCCGTTTGAATCATTTGAATTTTGGTGGTCAGACGCAAATGTGATCAGAGGGGCCTTGCATTCGACGCACTCAACAAAACCACCCACCACCACCACCACCACCAGACCACCACTTCCACCATGTTTTTTGCGTTTCTCGCTGTGGAGAAGATCAGCGTTTTAATGTCTTTCGGCGTTTCCTGGCTTGGAGATCCGTGTTTCTATTTTGCTTGTACCTGCAGATGGCTGACTTCTTTGCTCCTTGCTTTCTCACTTCCTTGGGCCCTGATCTAGATTCGCAGTTTCTTTTCCAGTGCAGATTGTTTGGCTGACTGCCACGTTTATGTATAAAATAATATATGCATTATATATGCACACATACTTGGTTGGATGGATGGTTGGATGGATGGATAGATAGATGGATGGATAGATATGTGCATGTGTGTTAAGATTCATTGAGGCAACCGAAGGGCATCCATGCGCAACTGAATGCGTAAATCTTGGTTGCTGCATAATTTGCGCCGGGTAATACGTATAATTCTTCAGGCAAATTCTGCAATTGTGGCGCCGTAGTGTTGGAGATCACAAGATGCTTTTTGTGCTTTCGAACTCCGGTCACTTTCGATACCTCCGCGCCATGTTCCCTACTTAATTAACGCCTTTACCACCGGTCGCACCCTCCCAGCGCCCCCGTCCCTTCTTCAGTCTGGTTTGAAACCGGCTTTGAGTTACAAGCGATCCCATTCCTAAGTTGCCAGTAGGACGTCTACCATCTACACCGCAAATCATTTTAATGGTTTGATGATGTGTGATGCTCCGATTTAAGTGCTGGTCCTGTTCAGTGTAGCAATGGGGGGATTGCTGGAGTGATTGCGTATCAGCAGGATGTGGCCAGCATACCTGTGGTTGAACCAGCGGTTCAACCAGACGTGCCACAGCCGGCAAGAGTCGCATCTAGTATCATCTAGTTATTATTTAGAGCTGCATAGGGTGTACTGGATGCCTATTACAGGGCGCAAACCGACGCACAAGTCACAGACAGTAGCATGAATAGATTTTGATGAAGATACAGCAGGAAGTGACTGTGCAGGATCCGTCCTCTGTCGCTGCAGACCCTCCCAGCACTGCAGAAACATCAGCGCTCGAGCAGAAGGACTGCAAGCTGCCGTCTCTTTGCACTTGAGTCATGTAAACTTTAGTAGTCAGACAAAATGTGATGGGAGGGTTTTTCCCTTCAAGGCAACTCTCTGAAAGACTTAAAGCGCAAATAACACACTAAGATCAGGCTCTTTGGAATAGTTACTGTTGAAGAAGGTCGTTCATGTAATTTGTTTAACCGCCTTCGGCGTGTTCCGCCCCGCCGGCCAACATGGAAAGAGCTATCCTGTAAGCCGCAAACAGCCCGACTTGCACAGGCCCAGCAAGAACATGGTTTTTGTATGTTTTTGTGTAAAACATGGTGTTTGTGCTTAACACGGCTTTTGTGTAAAACAGTTCTTTGTGTAAAAGGCGGTTTTGACACAAAAGCATTGGTTTTGTTCAAACCACGGTTTAAGTTTGAACCAAAGCATGTGTGTAAACCAGGGTTTTGGAAAAGGCAATATTTAGGAAGGTTATGCGTGTAAAAGGTGCCAGTGGATCAAGCATTGGATAAAAGAAGCGACGGAGCAAACCGATGGCAAACACCAAAAAAAAGCGGAAACAACCATCGAAATGACAGCAAGATGTGCAAATCACAGGAGGGGGGGAGGTGGCGGAGGTGGGGGGTGAGGTAGCAATCCCCGGTATTTAGGGGCCCTGGATCCCAGCTAAAGACTATTAGCACTTGTGGTCAACAGGCGGCACGCAGCACTCTTTTTGTAGATATGCTAGCAAGTCTGGAGCCACGGAGTGGCGCAGTGGTAGATATGAATTAAGGTGAGCATGTCACATATCATGCTGACTGTGCGCATTGTGTAGACACATTACCAAAACTAGGTTACAAAACAGACATTCATTTTCTTCGTGTCGGAACATGCAGCAAAACTTTTTAAACTTGCATAAGAAGCGCTCAGCTTATGCCCTGCTGTGAAACATGCCCGTTGACAAAATGAAGAGGCTACTGCTGGCTGTGATAACGGCTCAATATGTTTTCAAAAATGCCGCAGAGGAGACTGTTTTTGCCGGCGGTCGGTTAGTTCTCAAAGATCTCAAAGTCCTATTCTGAAAGTGTACCCATAAAGATACAATTCATTCTGTCTTCTCTGCCAGGTCGGCTGATGAAAGAAGATGGATTCTTCAGGTGATTGAGGCACCAAATCAAGCCAGGTGCCGTCAGCATGTCTGATCCATCTTTCATAAGGCACTTGATACCCTTGGACATATTCTACGGAGGATCTGCGTGGGTCGTGCTTATAATTTGGCTGCTGATAGTATCCCTGACCGTGATGTCGGTTCGTATACTGCTGGTCATAGGGCTGCTGGTAGCCTTGGTTTAACCAAGCAGCTCCTGAGCTTCGAGACTGCTCTTGGTATCGCGGTGGCTGGTGGCTCGCGATACTGTTGACGACCAGAGTTGGCCCAGTATGCACCACGAGAGTGACCGTCGCCGGTGCGGCTTCTGGTCCTCCCCCCCTGTGGCCAAGACTTGGGTCGTAGGCCGGCTGCTCAACGTCGTTCAAGATGATTTCGTAATCAAACGATGAGCCGACCATGCCATCCGCACTAGCGGATTCATGCTGACGGCGTTCCTCTGATACGATGGTGTGTTTGCCCTAGCCTAGCAGATGCTAACAAGGATCATGGAATCGCAGTCGGCATCAGGATCACCTTGCTGAGCTTTGATATACTCACCCGTTTGCGTCGAAGAGACAATATTGAAAGTAATGCGGTTTAAGGCTGACCTGTGCAAATTGATTTGGCCAAGGAATCTTTCTGAAAGATCCACTAGGATATACTAGAATGCAACTCCGGAAATCGGAATGGGCATCCTTTTTCAAAATTACATCACGTTGCGCGAACAGGTTCCCGTCGCCCTGTATAAAATCTACTTGATGAGAAATACATGAGGCGAGGAATTGAACCCATCGTTCACAAAGTTCTGTGCGCGCATTGCTCCATGCATAGGATGAAATGTTGAAAACAGTGCGACGAGCTTCGGCTAGGCCGAGTCGGTGAACGTCAAAGTTGTCTGCACCGGATGTCATTTTAAGCGGCAAACATGACTCAACCGCACACTTGCCATCAATTTCTGAAATGTTGTTTTCCTCATCATCTCGCGCACTTGCAAGTGGAGCCGAGTGCGGCTTGACTCGAGCATCCATGTTAGGACCGTTCGATGTTGGCAGAGTTGTCCGTATATCGGAGCTTGGGTCCACCATTTCACCAGAGGTTACTTTTCCAAAGGCAAGTCGAAAAATGCAAGCGTGTAGAATCCAGAACTTGTTGGCGTGTGTTACCACATAGTCTTCTTCATCTTCTGCTTCCCAAAGATCAACTACCTCTGCACCCATGGGATCATCTTGTTCTGGAGGAAGTGCATCTTCTTGTTCTGGTTCATCTTCTGGAGGTTCTGAACTGCCTGATGAGGAACGTTGCTGTTCCCATTGATCCACAGGTTCCTCTCCCTGCTGAGAGCGCCCTGCACGTCTGGATGGCTGTTCATATGGGTTTTGCATAGGCTGATCATCTTGCTCAGATTCCTCTCTCTGCTAAGAATCTTCTTCCTCTTCTTCCTGTTTCCTTCTCCTTTTCTTCTGCCTTTACCTTTGCCTCGTCTGGTGTGTCTGCCTTGGAACCTTCTCTGATACCATGTGAATTCAGCGTCATCACAAACCCAGAAAACATCTTCTAAAGCATCCAGGAATCCTTCTGCGTGATCTTCATCATCTTCGGCCCAATAGCTGTCGGTTCCTTCTAGTTCACCTTCTTCCAGAACGAGGAAAGATCTTCTCTGTCCAATGCCAGAGGGTTGCATCATAGGATTGTCAACTGCCGTTCTTGTAGCGCAAAGCATTTCCAGGAATACATCTCTGAGTTCTTGCGCAGTGTACTGATCTAATCTAATGTTCTTCCACGATGTGTCATGATACTTGTGAGTGTGTTCCTCTGCTCTTGCGTCAAACCTGCCAGACTTACCAAAATCAATGCTGACAAGTTGTCACCTAAGGGAAAAGCCAATCTTTGTTGTGTCCTTCTGTCTGTATTGAGTTGCCTGAATGCCGCCAATGCATGCTCACCTGTCCAGGGTGCATTGACATGTGGTTCTTGTCCTGGAGTCGCTGCTGCAATACCTGCAAGTTCAGCTTGTCGAGCTTCGTGCTCAAGACCACATTGTGCAACATGCGCGATTGCTTCTGGACTGGCGGTCTCCAAATCTGATAAGAGATCCATCCAAGACTCAATAAGTCGATTTCCAGTAAGTTGAAATCTAGTCGTCCATATTTGAAAATCTGTTGTACCTCTGTTGTGTTTCATGAACTACATGAATCGATATGGGAACACTGTTTGGGCTCCCTTGGTGAAATGCCGTCGAAAGAATCTTTTGAAATAGCTCACACCATCCTTTGGGTCTCACAATAACTCTCTGTTTAGTAGTCGTTTGTATTGAGATGCTTCACCTTCCAATCTGTTCCTCAATGCAGGTCCACGTTTTTCAGGTTCCAGCTCTGTAATGTCGCACCAATCATCAATTGTGTCCTCAAAAGCAAAGAAACTGGTCCTTCCATCATAAGCAGGGGCTACCTTCGTGGTCATCTGCTGCGTCATGTGAATTGAGGGTTGTCAGGGTGCCCTTCTCATTGCATAAGAGTCATATTGATTCCATCCATCTGCATCGACAATGTCGAAGTCATCATCGTAGCCATGGCTTGCCATATTGGGCTCTACCTGGAGCTCACCTTCAATGAAGGATCACAGCTCCGCTACCACTTGAAGAGGATCAGCGAGAGCGTTTTCCCAGGCTGCCACACTTGGTTTTCCTCTCACAGCCAATAGCCAGTCAGTGCGGTGCCTAGGCTACAAGCTATACCTCTATATCTCTCTCTCAGCGTATGTAAACTGTGCTCAGTACTCATGCTATGCCCTGATAGGGTTAAGCCCAAAAAAACAGGGGAGGGGGGTGGGTTCAAGTTAGAGGAGGCAAAACCCGAGCCAACGGGAAAGTCTAGACGAAGACAAAAACAAAACAGACAGCACAAACTACGAACGAGCAAGGTCCGCAACACACGCCGGCAGGCCGGCGGATTGGTTTGTCAGGGGCGCGGTTCCCATTGTCAATCATTGTTGCGGTTTGATGCATCATGATGCATCATGTTCAGTGCAAGACACAGTAACAGGAGGACTGTTGCAGTGACTGTAGTGGATGGGCTGTACCAGGAGGATGTGGCCAACGTACTTGCGGTTGAGCCGGCAGTTCAGCCAGACGTTTCAAAGCCAGAAGAAACTTCTACCCAGGCACCCATGTCATTGTATGCATGCATAGTAGAAATTGCATGAAATTGCAATACGTCTGTAAAATGATGCCAATGATGCATGTAGACTCTTCTTGTTCTTCTCGATGGGCAACGTGCGGTAAGAGATATAGTTTTTGCCAGGGATTGAACAGCACGTGATTGTGCAGGATCCATCCTCTGTCGCTGCAGACCCTCCCAGCACCGAAGACACACCAGCACTCGAGCAGAAGGACGCTGTCGTCTCTTTGAACTTGAACCATGTGAATTAACTTTGGTAGTCAGAAGCAAGTGTGATCGGAGGCGTCTTGCATTCAACACAATCAACACCACCGCCCACCACCACCCACCACCACCACTTCCACCATGTTTGTTGGGATCATTTGAACTTTGGTAGTCCGACGGAAATGTGCTCAGAGGGGGCTTGTATTTTTCACGCCCCCCCCGGCCCCCCGGAAAGATCCACAGCGCAGTCACAGTCAAGACGCCAACGTCAGGCTGTTTGGAACACTTGCTCTTAAAGAAGGTCATGTGTTTATTGGATTGTCAGGGGTCCGGCTACCATTGTCAATCATTGTTGCGGTTTGATGCATCATGATGCATCATGTTCAGTGCAAGACACAGTAACAGGAGGACTGTTGCAGTGACTGTAGTGGATGGGCTGTACCAGGAGGATGTGGCCAACGTACCTGTAGTTCAGCCAGACGTTTCAAAGCCAGCTGAGGAAGAGTTTTGCCGGGCGGCCGAGGGTTGTAACCAGCAGTGACATTTCTTTCCGGCACCCGTCAACCACAGCTCAGTAAACAGTGATGCCATCGAATCAGCTTAAAAGAATATTTTTTCAGCTTCGCGGACCACTATTAATTAATCGTTTTGCATACGTAGATCCGCTGTTTCTGGAGATCGAGAAAAAGAAAAGCGAAGAGGAAGAAAGAAAGGAAGGAAGAAAGGCAGATAGATTGATAGATAGATAGATAGATAGGTAGATAGATAGATAGATGGATAGATAGACAGATAGATAGATAGAGATAAATAGAAAGAGAGAGATAGGTAGATAGATAGATGGATAGATATTTAGATAAATAGACAGATAGAGGTAGATAGATAGGTAGATAGATAGCTGGCTAGC